CCCACTTCCCACCCCAGTTCCCTCAGTTCTCCCTTCTCAACCCCTCCAGGGGGCCAGTATCCTTACAGCGAGGTCCCAGAGGTGACGGAGAAGGGGGCTCCCTGCTCTCCCCCCTCCAGAGGCGGGGGGCTCCCACATCCTGGGCCCTGAGGGGTGCCCTCAGAGCTGGATGGGGCTCTAGGCCCCCTTTCTTAGTCCCCCCTCCACCTGAGCACAAACACACAACAGTGGCTCCACCAGCCTGGGGGGCATGTCACAAAGACCTCCGCTTCACTAGCCCCCGCCCACTTTGAACACTGACCCTTTCCCCTTCCAGTGCCTCCCCACCCCCACCGGGCATAGGAGGGGGGTCCTGGGGGCCAGGGCCTGACACAGACTTATTGGATTTCACGGTGTTTTGCTGAGAAAATAATTAAATTATCATATTTATGATGGAGCTGCCATGGCCTCTGCCAACCATTCAGAACAGAAGGGTCAGGACTGGGGGGAGGAAAGAGAAGGGACCCAATCCCTTCCTCAGGGAGTTGACCCCAGGCCCAGAGTAGGCACCTGCAGCCTCCTCCCACGCCCAGCCGAGGTGACGGCAGGTCTGGGCTGCAGGAAACAGGAAGGGGCCGAGTCAAGGCAGGTTAGAAGCCACGCCCACTAGAGCCCTGGGTCATTTCCCAGGCGCTCTCACCCAGCCTGCAGGACCTGAGGGCCTGGGAGGTCACTTCCAGCCCAATCCCCATGTCACCCTCAGCCCAGCTGCTGAACAAGCTCATCTTCCCAACCGCCTGGCTCTGAAATCCTGGGCTCTGTCCCAGGCCCTGGTGCTGATAACAAGGCCCAGCACCCTGCAGCTTGCTGCCAGGACCCCCTCCTCCCTCCCACCCACGCCCTGCCCCCCCATTCTCTTCGGGTAATTAGATTCCTCTCAATTAGCAGATTACGATCATTACCAGCTCATCTGGCAACTAAGCTCCGCACCCACAGCTGGGGAAAGGGGGGGGGGTACCAAGAGGGGCACGCGGGGGTCATGGGCAAACATGAGCGGTGCCGGGTTTCTCTGGGGTTTCAGGAATGTGGAGTGGAGGGCTGGGGCCCCCAGAGACAAAGCCAGGATGGTGGGAGGTGGCAGGTGTCCTCCTCCCCCGGAACAGCGCTGCCTACGGAGGGAAAGGTACCAGCTAGGCCCACCGTGCCTGCCAGGGGAGTAGAAGACAGACACCAAGCTCTGGTGGCGAGGGGGAAACCACCACTCTGCCAAACGCTGGGCCAGGAGCGGGTGGAGCTGGCAAAGCAGAAAAACAAGCCGGGGCGAGCAGAAACTGAAGACAGGGGATGTCATTCTCAGACTTGTGGGCCTTGTCTCTGTGTTCGCGGCCCCTACCCCTCGGCCAATGCAAGCGTATAGC